GCAGCAGCAGCAGCAACACAGGTTGGGGGGAGCAGCTGAAGCGCAGCAGCAGCCACGACTGGTATGGGGGGTCCCCTTTATCATCTGCTGCAGCAGCAGAAGCTCCCAGCAGCAGCAGCCCCGCGCACCCTCACCACCACCACCACCACCACCACCATCAGCAGCAGCAGCAGCAGCAGCAGCAGCAGCAGCAGCAGCGGTATGGGGCCCCCGAGGCCCCCTCTGCATGCAGCTCGTGGCTTGGGGGCCTCCAGGCATGGACGAGGCAGCAGGGGCTGCTGCAGCAGTCTTTTGCTGTCTATGCGGAGACAGAGATACTCAAACGTTCGTCTACTGTCTCCTTTCTTCTGTCTCCTTTCTTCTGTCTCCTTTTGTTTGTCTCCTTTTGTTTGTCTCTTCTTTGTTGTCTCCTTTTGTTTGTCTCCTTTTTTCTGTCTCCTTTTTTCTGTCTCCTTTTGTTTGTCTCTTCTCTCTTCTCTCTCTTTTTTGTTGTCTCCTTTTATTTGTCTCCTTTTTTCTGTTTCTTATTTCTCCTGTTTCCTTTCTGCTGTCTCCTTTTTACTGTCTCCTCTTTGTCTCCTCCCTGCTGTCTCCTTTTTGTTGTCTCCTTTTTGTTGCCTTCCTTTTGTCTCCTTTTGTCTCCTTTTCTTTGTCTCCCTTTCTCTCTCTCTCTCTCTTTCCCTTCTCTCTAACAAAACCCTAAACCCTAAACCCTAAACCCTAAACCCTAAACCCTTTTTTTTTTGGGTGTCTCTGCAGGTCTCCTCTTCCGCGTTGCTTCTCACTACAGCCAAGAAGCAGCTAAAGACATCAACCACCTCAGAGAGGTACTTCCCTGCTGCTGCTGCTGCTGTTGCTGCTGTTGCTGCTGCTGCTGCTGCTGCTGTTGCTGCTGCTTTTGCTGCTGTTTCTTTGGATGATTTCGTCGTTGTTTCTGTCGTTGCAGCAGCTGCAGCAGCAGCAGCAACTGCTGCTGCTGCTGCAGCTGTTTCTTGCACGCGCGACCGACCTTACCGTAGCAGCAGCAGACCAGCAGCAACAACAACAGCAGCAACAGCAGCAGCAGCAGCAGCAGCAGCAGCATGTGTGGTGTTTGTTTCTCTGCAGCTGCTGGCAGCAGCAAAGAGAGCGGAGGAGGGGAGCGCCGAGGCGTGGCTTCATTACCTTCAGTCTGTCGCCTCCTCCTCGCAGGTCTCTACTTGTCTTTGTCTTTGTTTTTCTCTTTTGTCTTTGTCTTTGTCTTTGTCTTTTTGTTTTACTTGTCTTTGTATATCTATCTATCTATGTATCTATCTATCTAGCTAGCTAGCTAGCTAGCTAGCTGCATATCTATCTATCAATATATCTAGCTAGCTAGCTAGCTGTCTATCTATCTATCTAGCTAGCTAGCTAGCTAGCTAGCCAGCTAGCCAACGATAAGCACCCCCGTAGAAAGACCCAGCTCCGCTTACATGCTGCCCCGCACCCTGCAATAAAAAACAGCTAGCTAGCTAGCTAGCTAGCCAGCTAGCTAGCTACCCAGCTAGCTAGCTACCCAGCCAGCTAGCTAGCTACCCAGCCAGCTAGCTAGCTAGCTAGCTAGGTGGTGTTTGTTGAGTGGTGTGTGTCTCCTGTGTGCTCAGCCTTCAGCCTTTGGGCGGCAGCAGCGGCTGACTTGCTGCTGGCTAGAAGAAAACAAATACAGAGCAGCAGTCTGTCTCCTTTTTCTGTCTCCTTTTTTGTCTCCTTTTGCTGTCTCCTTTTTTGTCTCCTTTTGTCTCCTTTTGCTGTCTCCTTTTTTGTCTCC